GTAAATCATCATAACCAGGAAACAATGCTCGGCATATTTCTGTCCACGCTTGTAGTTTCGCACCACGATCTTTATACAAAATATCGCTAAGATCCCATAATGATGGTTGACCTCGGACTTCTGTTATGACACGTTCCGTGTCTAGATTTTCCGCAGACATTGTCGTTGTTGACAGTCCCGAACACACGTCCGGATTTGTCTGCGTCCGCACAGCACTAAACGCTTTCGTATATATACCTAGCGCGTCCTGATGCGGACGTCCGGAGCACGGACGCGCTCGACGGATTATTTTCCTCCGGATGGACGGACGCTCCGCAGGCCGTGTTCAACTAAACACAGTAATTGATTTCTATACGATAGCTCCGGATGATGGTCGTCCGTACGGACCATCCGCATAGCATTAAATCCAGCCTTACATTCGTGATAGAAAACAATATAAGCAAATCGCCGTACACCTTCTGGAACTTTGTCAAGTGTAAAAAATCTGCAAAAATTCATATCCTTATAGTACGAAATTCGGTCAATATTTTTCAAGCAAAGGTGAAGTAATTTTTGATTTCTTCAATCAATATTTTAACTCTAACTTTCTTCACGATTCTGAAACAACTAACTTATTACTATTATTGACACGAAAATTGATCAATCTGTTTTTGATTGATTAATCTGTTTATCTGTCGATATAAATTCCATCGAAGTGATAGAAGAAGGTATCCAGACTTTTAAAGACTATTGACTCGCACAAGTCAGCTGGACCAGACGGTATCCAGGCGATCTTTATCGTACGTTGTGCGGCCTCCCTTAATTTGCCTCTGAGCATCCTGTACCGCCGTTCTTTAAAGGAAGGCATGTTTCCAAATATTTGAAAAAATGTGTTTATTACTTCGGTACATAAAAAAGGACCAAAGGATGAGGTACAAAACTATCGTCCCATTTCTAAGCTCTGTCTATTTGCTAAAGTGCTTGAAAAAATAATTTACAACCAGGTGTAACCTTCTCTTCGTCACACATTTAGTGAAAATCAACATGGTTTCTTAAAAAAACAGATCCTCCGTGTCAAACCTTGTTATCTGATCCAACTATCTAACTAGCTTTATGTCTAAACCAGCACAAGTTTATGTAGTGTATACAGACTACTGCAAAGCATTCGACAGAATTGATCATTTAATTATTTTACGTAAACTCCTTGCAATGTGTATCAGAGGTGATTTGTTAAGATGGTTTACGTCATATATCAGAAATCGCATCTGTCGTCCTTGGTGGATATCGTTGGTTTAAAACCCCCAAATATATCGTCTGGGGTACCGCAAGGATCCCTATTAGGTCCTTTACTCTTCTTAATTTTTTTCAATGATATCGACACGTGTTTTAAAAGTTCCAAGATTATTCTGTACGCTGACGATATGAAAATGTCCAAATCTGTAATAATATGTCCTATTACAGATTTGGAAAGTTGTTCTAGCCTTCAAAAGGATCTCTATAATTTAGAAGCATATTGTTCTTACAATAAACTTGATCTAAACGTTTCTAAATATTTTATCTAATCATTTACTCGTAAACCTAATCCTATAATATATAATTATAAATTACACCATACTTCGCTTAATAGAACCAGCACTATCAGGGATCTAGGTGTTACCTTTGACTCAAAATTGCTTTTTGACAATCACGTTGATGATATTGTTACAAAGGCTAACAAAGCGCTAGGTTTTATATTAAGATTATCGGTAGATTTTGAAAGTATAAAAACTTTCAAAATTCTTAACAGCAATATTAATAAGTTTTTTGTTGTACATTTGCTGCTATTAAGAAGATGCTGCTGCCCATCTCCTGCCTGTTTCCCTCTGTCGCCGCTCTGTTAACCGCTACTTCACGGCCTTACTTAATCGTTGATAGCATTTACATATTAGTCCCGAGTTCACCACATTGCAACTCAGAGCTTGTAGTAACGCCATACTGTCGGTCAGTATTTTGATGAAGAAGTTATTTACCTTCCTAGCGTCTATTGCTATGGCCGCTTGGATGATACCCGTACATTTCGCGTGAAAGACTGTGTTATGGGTACCCAGCGGTGTACATATCTAATATACACATATTGAGCTATTCAGAGAAATTTCCAGATTCACCAGATACACCTACATTTGTTTTGGAACCATCCGTGAAAACTCTAAGCTTTTTTGGGCTAAATACCTCTGGCTGGCCAGTTCTATTTACTTGTATGTTATACATCTTATCGAATACAAATTGTTTTGAGATTTTATCGTACTTTTGTACTACTTGTAAGATAGGAATTTTTGAGAAAAATGTGTCAATTATACCTGTATAAGGGACTAAGATAGATAGGTTCTCCGCTTCTTTACACTTACCTTATGAAACAGAGCAACATCAAGCTGCTATTTCATGCTGGTTTTCTGTGAGAACGTGGTCCTTTCCTGGTCAAGCTCACCCATTTGTACTGCAGCCATAAACATTGTGACTCTACCGCGCTTAAAATCTAATTTTAAGCTACAAAATATTATTATAATGAAACACAGTTACGGTTTAATTCCAACCGGCAATGGGTACAAAATTGCTTGGCAATGGCAGTACAGTTAATATATTTCTATCATAGTTTATTCCCGGATATATGTATCTTTATCTTTAGACATAATAAAGACAAAAGAAAGGAAGAAAAGGTCGCATGTTAAACAAAAAACTAAAATGAACATTTTGCGACAGCAGACAGCTTAGACCGCAGACAGGACGCTTCTCCTGCTGGTGAATGGATGCTGTAGTCCGTAGACTAACAATGAAAATGCAGATGCCTGTCACCCCCGATGTTTAAAATGGAATGCCTCGTTACGAGTAAAAACTTTCCGGTTCCCGACACAAAACATACGAACACATCATTATGTTACTATCTCACTCTGGTATTATGTGAGAGCGTGGTCTTTTCCCGGTCATGTCGAGCCATCCATGCAGTCATAATCACTGCAAGATGCTTTTACCACAAATTAGGCCATCTCTTCAGAAATTAGCTCCACATATAATCGTCTCATACGATGCCTAATACTATCACTTTAGCATAGCATGCAATATGGTTAGTTAGTATAATGATACTAACTATGCTGTAAAAGTACGGAAATCAAAAAATAATATCATTTATTTGGGGGTTTTAAACCCACATTTGAAGGATTTTTACTGCTGATTAAGTAGCGGATGGGAAATTTTCGTACAATTGTAAGTTTAATGATAAAAATCGATGATGATGTTACCGACAAAAATGATAGAACTAAAGACGATTCTTGATGTTGGCTTGTCGATTTACTAATTGTTTGTTGATTTATCGATCATTTACATAAAAATTAATGTTTTGTTACACAATATGTAATAATTAAGGTAAACCATTAATAATATATTTATTTTTTTCTTTCGTAATAAAAAAAAAATTGTTTTGTGAAAAGCTTAGTATTATCCATTGAAGTAATATGTACTTACGTACTATAACAGATAGCTCAAACAAAAAATGCGCGCTACTCTGTGATCGCGCGGTTGCATTTTTATCATAGAATGAACATAGGTAGAATGACCCGTAGTTAATAGTAGATTGTATTGTTAAATAGGTAAATTATATCGAGAACAATATTTAAATTTTGTCATTTATTTTGTATATTATATTTGTTTATTTAATATAATATTACTTGATATAATATCATAATTACATTTTAATGATATTTTTATCTGAATATTTTAAAAGGTATCTAAATCAAATATAAAAAAACATACTAAATTTATGTTTAACAAAACTTATTAACACAACATTTAAATTACAAATATATTTATTTAAATTAGAATAAAAGTCGTTCGTAAATGCTGGGCACGCGAGAGTTAAAAATGGACGAATTTATACCACTTTGACTTTGATGTGAAAACCCAAAAATAAAATAAAAAAATAACAAATAGATTTAAACATTTTTTGCATTTTTTGACAAATTTTGCCAAATTATAATAACTTATATAAGTTTCTACAAAAAAAAAATGTTTATAATAATATATTCATCCTATGCTTAAGTACCCACAGAAATTTCGCATCTCAACATATTAATTTCATAATTTATATTCCGTGACTCTAGTAGGCGTCTTTGGAATAATTTGTTTTATTATAAATACATAATACTTTTTTATTGATTAAGTGTCTTATTAGCCGATGAAAAGTAATTCCTTGGTTTTACTGACATTTCTTGAATTATTTGTGCAATATCTAAGTACATACGACGGCATATTTTTATCAAGATTTTTTTTTAAATCAACACAACACGTGACAACTCTATAAGCGGCCAGCGAGTGACTGATTAAAGTGCGGTGTATGCACCGCAGTTGAGTGGAACAGAGTACCTGAATGCAGTGTCGCCTCTAGTACGTAGTACATAGTAGCTCAATGGTATTATCATAACATAATTATAATAATAAAATATTAAGGATATATGTTGTGTGTTGCTTTTTGCTAGTGGTTTTATGGTGCTCTGGTGTTTTTAGAAGTTAAATCTGGTGAAGAGCTAGTTTAGTTGTTGGCACTTGGCAGCACTGGGGCTAGTGGCAAAAGACAAACTGACATACTACTCTTTGTCTCTTCTCTTTGGTAGGCATTATTAAAAATCAAAAATAGCTTGCTACATATTTATTTATCTATGATCAAAAACGTACATAAATTGACGACGACCCGACAGACAAAACATTTTTATTCAGCAATATTCCACAGAGTACCTTTGTATAAACTGAGACTTTGTAAAAACTGCAATATTCTTTGTCCCTTATCAATTGTTTATCAGAGAGAACCTAATACTATAATATTTATTATCAGTTATGTTATGTTAGCAGCTGTTGTGATGCAACTGAGTTCCGGGTGATATAATTAAAGTTCAATATTTTATTTACGGACAAGGTAGTATCTTTCTTTTTTATAATTTAATCAATAGTTTATTTTCGTATTCAATTCTAAGAGAGTCATTATTGTCCAATTAGAGATGGAACTTTTGATAAAAATTGTAAGTATTTATTCGTTATAAAGAAAGCTAATTGCTAAGTCATATTTTGCTATAATTTTGACAGTTAGCTATGTATGAATTTTTCTTGAAGATTATAGAAAAAGAAATAATACACTCTGAAGAGAAATTGTTAGTATTCTCTATCTATTTCAGGTATTACAACTAATGGGGAATACGATCGGAACTGTTTTAAACCCTATGTTCCCTATCAAAATGCTATTAAAAACATATTCACTATGTATTTTAATGGTTGATGTTGTATGGGTTGTTGTTAACACAAATTATGCAATTCTTCAAGCAGTTTATGGTTTTTTTAATCCTCCACCATTAAAGTCTGTAAAACTCGAGACTGCTCTGGTAAGCACAATTTGTTTCTTATTCTTTCACCTTTTGTCTATCTATCCATCCATTACTGCCCATTCAAGTTCCCTCCTGAACATACGCCTCCCCCATAGATTTTAACATATAGGGGAATATCCATAGTTGCCACACTTGGCAAGTGGGTTGGCAACTGCAGGTTTTATAATTTTGAACTGTTATCAGGAAGTAGCTGCTGCTCACTTCTTGTTTTGAATATCCTTTTGTTGCCTCTTACTATACCTATGGGACAATGTGAGGTAACAGATATTCTTACTCCACCACTACATGGTAATTTTTCAATCTTTCAAAATGCACATAAATTAGTCTATAAAATTTAATGTCATATGATGCCTGCTAATTGTGGTGTTTATGGCCAAATAGGAAATCCTCTGCAAACCAGTAGAGGTCTATCTCCAGTAGTGGACTTTTACATACTAAATATAAAAATGAAATGAATCTAAAATAAAGTATATATACCTCTACTGGTTAATGGAAGATATCCCATACATTAACATAATGTAAAGTCATAACAAATATACACACATACAGACAGACACACACATCCACACATTGCATTATATTAACCCCTTGTCTGGCGACCGGCCAGATTTTGGCCGATCCACGCCTGTGTTTGGTGGGTAAAATAACCGGCGACAATGATTGCTATCACACTTTTACTTATATAAAATTATACACTAAAGAAAGAGGATGCAATACAAAGCTACTAAAGTACTACAATGTTTAGAAATTTCGAATAAACAGCCTGTGTGGTAGTCATACGTGAATGTCGCTTTTATGTGTTTGCCAGTCCCAGTTTTTTTCCTTTTTTTATTCGTAAATCAAACAAATAGTGAATTTTGGTGCTATTTTAACATGGAAAGGTTAATAACCAACAGTTTTTAATTCATACTTTAGGGATATGTATTAGAGATGGGCCGAATATTCATTTTATGTTCGGTCTTCGGCATATTCGGCAGCTTTATCGAATATTCGTATTCGGCTAAATCACCGAACATTCGGAATGAACATTTATTTTTAATTGAATAATACGATATCTTTTACTGTTGAAAGTATATTTTATTTATGGGTTACATCTACTCTTACTTACTCTAGTCTAGAATGCCTCAAATGCATAAATTTATACATTTATGTTTTTGAGGCACTGTAGATTTATTTCCGATTATAGCATACAGAAATTTGATAAAATGTTTTTGGAATCAAACAACATTAAATAAGAAACAATACATTACATTAGTACATTTCACTTTACTTTGGTCATCAGTTTCTCTAAAATAAGTCCAAATAGTAAATCTCCTGCCGCTCATTTTTATCATATAATTATCATAATGATTTCTTATATTTACGCGAACACTACACATTGATTAAAACTACTTTTACGGATTATATCGCGTTTAATTTTACTTTTATTTATTTTTATTTTCAATTCCCAACATTTCGGGTGCTTTCCAGCACCCATGGTCATGAGGAATTGAGGTGACTGACGTCCCAATGTCATTGTTAAACCCGGAGTACCTTTAGCTTTTTTACTATAAACAATAATTAAAAAAGCTGAAGGTACTCCGGGTTTAACAATGACATTGGGACGCCAGTCACCTCAGTCCCCCGCATTAAGGTTAAAGAACAGGAGAACGATCGCCGTAGAAAATAGTGTCCCAGAAATATGGACACCATCAGTGAGGCGCTTCGATCACATAGTGCAGTCAAAAGTCATTTTCAGTCTATTTTTTCGATCAGATGCTCAACCACATATACATCTATGCACAATAAAATATTTCTCATATTTTTCATAAAAAAAGAAATTTCAAATTTCAATGTGTGGTTTTTTGCTTTTTTATTATAAATTAGTGTATATTGATGAAAATAAATTATATTAATGTTATAAATGAATGATTTTCTGTTTAGTTTTCACAAATTATGTACAAAATACTATTAAAAATTCGGTTTTCTAACTTTAAAATCGGCTTAATAAAATCTATTAGTTTCTATTCAACTAAGATAAGTACAGAATAATAGCAAATAATATTACAATTCAAATGAAATTACTAATTTAATCGCCACGCGCCGATCTCGCGGAAATTATCTACTAATGCCTTAGCAGGTGCGCATTATTTGCAAATGGCCGGCCGGCCAACAAGGGGTTAAATTCTTTTTGTGTCAATTAGCAATTAGCAGAATTGAAAATATCAAAATTGAGAACTTACTATGGATTGACACACATGTGAAAGTCAGTGCTGATAATATGTTATCATGATATCTTTGCCATATTAATTATTTTTTTTTACAAAGATAATATTCTGGTGAGAATGGTTACTCACCAGCTTATGTCACAACTATAATGAATGAAACACTGTTGTACATCAGTATTTTCTTCTACTGCATGAACTCTTGCTTTGATTTGGGTCATAGCAATGAACCCAAGTTTCGTCCCCAGTTATAATTCTGTTCATAATTTCGTCCCTCCTCTCACTATATAGGTCTAAAAATTGCTGTTTCTGAAATGGTGTGAGTATTCTTTGCAACCATCTGGATTGACCTTAGACATGCCAAGATGGTCAAGAAGAAGAAGTTAAAATGATCGAAGATAATACGCCAGAAATTTTTGAGATCTGTATTTTCTTCAGACGAGCATTTTCAAGAACAACTTTTTCAACAAGAAGGAAGTTGCCTCAATTGGTTGGCCTGAGCACTGATCGTCTTCAATTAAATCTCTGCCTTGCTTGAAAAGTCTATACTATGCTATGCCATTTACAAATCATTGGTTTTTCAGGGCAACAGTCCTTTACTTCCATAATGATATGTGATGTATTTTCTTGTTTAATGAGAAACTTAATCACGGCACGAAACTTAATTTTCTGTATAGTTAGTGTTTATTTCCCAATTGACTTGTTTATCTGAATTTATAATTGTAGTATGTCACCAAGTAGTGACGATTCAAAAATCCTCCCCTGTCCTCTTACCGCTCCATTCTGCAAACTTTTTGACCTGCATTCGTAACATTGTTTTAAAAAAACATTATTTCCATTAACAAACTGTCAATGCTTACTACCTTACTACTGTGATTTAAATACTAAGAATGTGTATTGATAAAATATTTTTTCTTTCTAGGTAATTGGTTCAGGAAGGGGAGTAGGTCGTCAAATAGCAATCCAGTTAGCTGAACTTGGTGCAATTGTTCTCTGTGTTGATAAGAATGTTGCAAACAATGAAGAAACAGTTAAAATGATAAAGAGCAAGGGTGGTAAAGTTTATATTTATGAATGTGATATAATTAAGAGAGAAAATGTTACAGCCATGTCTGAACAAGTGAAAAGGGATGTTGGATTTGTAAGCATGCTATTTTACTGTTGCGGTATTCCAAGCCCTAGGTCCCTGTTGACACAACCACCTCAAGATATACATGAAACGTTGGATCTAACTTTGACTTCATACTTTTGGGTAAATGTATTTATATCCATATAATAATAAATAACACTGTGAGAATTGCTCAATGCTGTAACAAATTCTACACCAAAAGCCAGCTTCAAATCTAGTGGTGCACCTTTCTAATAAAGGCCACAGATGTGTTGTCACTGAGGAATAAGATGGAATGCATCACAGTCTAATTATCTCTCTATATCCTTCAGATTGGAACATAGCAGAGCAAACACTATTTGGTTGCAGAATTAGGTAAGATGGAGGTACTACTACCCCAACAGACTCCTAGGCAGGCAATGAGTATCCATACCACCTAGAAAATAAAATATTAATTACATTTAAAAATGCTGAAGTCATATGCTTCAGACTATAGTTGGGAAGAGTCATAAATATTGAGTCTGTGCTTACCAACTTTCTGCCCAGCCTACATACTGTTCAGTTTAAGGCACTGCGCCCATTTTTCGATGGTATTGGTAGTTTAGCTGCGATGTGCATTCATGAAATTAGGCGGCTGGGATTAATCCGAACAATTCCTCAGAGCACTCGTCGTGGTAAATGCGAAAGAAAATGCAAAGAGATGCAAGATCTCTGCATTGCCAGTGAATCGCGATGATCGGAAAGGACTCGGTCGTCGACGATTCGAGCCGGTCTGCGTTCGATGTGGTCAAGTGGAAGGAGCTGGCTCTGGGGAGCCCCAGCCCAGAGAGGGGAACAACAGTATTCCATGTGAGGCCGAACCTGCGCCTTGTAAAGTTGCAGGCGGGGTGTGCCGACATGAAATATAGTCCCACTCTGCTGAGCACACCAAGCTTTTTAGAGGCCAATTTGGCCTTCTCATCCAAGTGATGGAACTGCACGTCACTTGATATGTTGACGCCGAGGATTTCGATACTGGCTAACACAGCAAGGGCCTTGAAACTGAGGGAAAAAGAAAAGAACCTCTTTGTCATAACACTGAAGACAGAGAGGTTTTCTTTGGCGGTATACGCGTAAACTTGTGTTTTCTGAGGATTAAACTAAATCTAGTCTGATTTAGTCGCCCCCAACCCAATCCGAGACTTTATTCAGCAAAGACTCGACTTCTAGTGAAGTCCCCTGATTTTGCAGAAATTCACGAATAGCCTGGCAGGGGTCTCCTTGACCTTGTTGCTCATTTTGCCCGGAGCAGTTATTGTCTTGAGAGGAATTTTGCCGCCCCCCATTCCCCAGGATACGCTGGGAGGCCTGGGCACCCACGCTCAGGAGTGGAGTAGCTTGGTCGTAGGTGCTCAACGAGGGATTCCCATACGAAATGCAGAAGCAGAACTTCCACTTCATGCCGGTGTTCTGTGTATCACCCTGGCTCGAGCCGGTCCATATGTGCAACAGCAAAAGCTGCCGCGTGGCTCTACCACTGTTAAAACCACATTTATATCTACCTTAAAACCACTATTTATAGCATTTTAAAAGCACATTCCTTTTAATAATTAACTTTTTTATAGCTGATTGAGCATTTCATGCCTGAAATGAGAGCAAAGAATCACGGTCACATAGTCGCCCTAACCTCTGTAGCTGGCTTGAGCTATATAAAGGATCAAATGCCTTTGAGTGTAGCGCAGTTCGCTGTTCAGGGTCTTGCCGAGTCTTTGATGGAGCATTTAAGAATCACTAAGACTGATGGTGTATATGTCACTCTAACTCATATATATCCTTTCATTGTAGAAGACAGTTCAAATTTACGATTAAGGTAAGACATATAAACATACATCTACTATTATTACTATGACTACTGTCATGTGAAGGCGATACAAGAGAATTCTCGTGGTAGAGCCGTACTGCGGCTATATTATGGTTATAACACCATAGGGTCGGCTCAAATGGAGAAGGGTCACCACACTCACAGAATACCAGCTTAAAAAAGCAACTTAATGCTAGTGTGCTAGTGTTTCGTATCGTGAATCTAGAGAGCCGGATACCCTTTTTACTGGAAATGAGGCATTCCATCTTAGTCGGGTATGACTAGTACTCAGGGGTGACAATGCATCTGTATTTTGAATCTTAATCTAGGATAGATGAAGGTGTCTATGAGTCACAGCATCCACTTACCATCAGATGGATTTTGTGGACAGACGGTCATTTCGAAACCATAATGGTCACTTGTCATTTAACTAAGAAACCATAAAAAGAATTCATCACCATGGTTGTCGTGAGGTAACTTTGGCATAAAATAACCAGACCTGCGATGAGTAACGGCGTAAAAATTGCAAGATTTCTGATGTTGCCAATATAGAGAAGATATTGCAGACTAAGTTTTCTGCGTTAATCTGTCCAAACATTAATAATTAAAAATTTAAAGTAGTCGGCGTTAACTATGACATCGGGACGTCGAATACCTCAGTCCCTCCCCGTGATTGTGCTGTAGATGCCCTAAACGTCGTGGATTAAAAAAATTTAAAATTAAACATTAAATATACCACCCTTTATCCGCACCATGAGGAACAATATAATAGAAATGGCCCCGAGTTCCCGGCGCCCCTTTAATGGGGCAGGGGTGCGAAGAATCTCCGGGAGGAAAACCGGCGACGAGGTTCGCCACCCGTCACGTTCTGTCTCCCGGAGAGGCGAAAAGTGGATTGCAGAGGTCCGTCTGGCTACGTTGAATGTATGTGGGGCAATGAATGATAAAATGGATGAAGTATGCGATATGATGAATGATAGAGGAATAGATGTGTTATGTGTAAATGAGACGAAAAGGAAGGGAAAGGATGTCACTACACATGGCATGTATACCGCATACTGGTCTGGTGTAGACGAGATCGAGCGGGCATGCCAGGGAGTAGGTATCATCCTTTCAGAAAGAATGGGCCAATGTGTGAAAGAGTATGAATGTGTAAGCCCAAGACTGCTGTGGATACGAATGAAAGTGGGCTTAAAGAAGTTGTTTGTGTTAGGGGTCTACGCCCCAGACATGTCTAAGCCCACTTATATCCGAGAGCAGTTTTGGGAAATGGTAAGGATGGTGTTAATGGAGTGTAAGGGAAATGAAAATATTATTATGCTAGGAGATTTTAATGGAAGGGTTGGGGTGAGGAGGCTTGGTTATGAAAGGATATTGGGAACGTTTGGTGATGAAAGTATAAATGAGAATGGTGAAAGTCTCCTCACCGTATGTATGGAAAAGAATCTTTTTGTGACGAACACTTGCTTTCGCCACAAGAGGATTCACATGTATACTTGGGAAAGAGGTGACGATAGAAGCATGATAGATTTAATAATTGTGGATGAAAGATTGAGGGGCGCAGTTGTAGATACAAGGGTTTACCGGGGTTCTAACGTAGGAACGGATCATTATTTGGTTCTATGCCGAATTAATGGTCTATTCAGGCGTTGGCGCCATCGGTCATCTGTGTCTACCACTGCGTTACAGCGTATTAGAACAGAAAGGTTACAAGATGAAGGTGAGAAAAAAGAAGTTCAAATGTAGACTGAAAGAAAATATAAGTGGTTTGGATGAATTATGTATGAAGGAGTTAGACTTGGAGAATGTATGGCAAAATGTAAAGAAAGGTTTAGTGGATGCAGCTACCGAAGTATGTGGTGTTAGTAAGAGAAAGAATGAAAGGAAAAATAATACGTTATGGTGGGATGATGAGGTACGTATGGAAGTTGAAGCAAAGAAGAGAGCATGGCTAGATTTACTAGCAACAAAGGCTGGTAATTCTAGCGGTACGAATGATGATATTGAAAGAAAAAAGGCAGTCTTTAGACATCTTAATAAGAGAGTAAAAGAAGTAGTTGAAAGAAAAAAGCAAGAAAGAACGGATAAGAATGATAGAAGAATATCGGATAATTTCCAGGCAAATATTAAAATGTTCTGGAAACTTGTAAGAACTGCCAGGGGACATTCAAAACAGCCTATGATGAATGCTATAAGAGACGAGAATGGCTATATTCTGAATGATGAAGTTTTGAGTTTAAAGAGATGGAAGGAATATTTTGAAAGCGTGTTTATGAGTGAGGAGACAACGTGTGTACTAAGTGAAGTAGAAATTCCGAAAGAAGAGGAAAGAGGTAGCGAGATTAGTGTAGGTGAAATAATGAAAGCAATGAAAAGCATGAAAGCAGGTAAGGCTGCCGGATATGATAGAGTTTCACTCGAAATGCTAAGGGCTGGAGAGGAAGTGGTGGCAGGCCTGCTGCACACCTTGTTTAATTTATGCTGGGAACTGAAGCGGGTACCGGTAAACTGGTGCAAAGCCGTGATAGTCCCAGCATATAAGGGAAAAGGGTCGCAGCAGGACTGTAAAAACTACCGTGGCATCAGCCTTCTTAGCATTGTGGGAAAACTGTATGCTAAGGTACTGATTGAAAGGGTCATGAAAGAAACTGATGGAAAAATTTGGGATGTGCAAGCAGGATTTAGAAAGGGAATGGGATGTACAGATCAAGTCTTTTCCATGCGCATGATCGCGGAGAAGTTTTTGGCCAAAAACCAAAAGGTTTTTTGTGCGTTCATAGACTTGGAAAAGGCCTATGACAGAGTGAATAGGGATGTGCTATGGCAAACACTGAACTCATTTGGGTTGAGCGCTGGCTTGATACGGGCATTGGAGTCCCTTTATAGGGACTCTAGTGCTTGTGTTAGGATCAACGGGGTCTACTCGGACTGGTTTGACATCCATAAAGGTGTCAGACAGGGCTGTGTAGCTTCCCCGTGGCTGTTCAACCTATTTATGGACAGTTGTTTGCAAAATTTGAAAGTTGAAGAATGCGGATTAAGAATGGGTGAGTTAACCGTCAAATGCCTTTTGTACGCCGATGATCAAGTTATACTTGCGTCGTCGGCGGCCGAGTTGCAAATGATGGTTACATTAATGAACAGATCATTAAAAGAAAGGGGTATGAAAGTGAACGCAAGTAAGACGAAGGTTATGGTTTTTGAAAGAGAAGAAAGTAAAACGATTTGTGAAATAAGAATAGAAGGGGAGTTGATCGAGCAAGTAGACGAGTTTGTATATTTGGGCTGCGTATTTAGCAGGGATGGGAGATATGATAAGGATATAGAACGACGAGTGAATGCGGGAAATAGAGTAAATGGGGCCCTGCACTCTATTGTGAAGAGTCAAAATGTGTCGAAAAAGGCACGTATGGCAATTCACAATGCTGTGTTGGTCCCTACTTTAACATATGGTAGTGAAAGTTGGGTGTGGCAGAAGAAGCACGAGAGTAGAATGAACGCAGTAGAAATGCGGTCGTTAAGGAGTATGTTAGGGCTGAATCTTAATGACAGGGTAAGAAATTGTGTAATAAGAGAAGAGTGTGGTTTGCAAGATGATGTTGTGACCAGGATTAAGAAAGGAATGCTTCGGTGGTTTGGTCATGTGGAAAGAATGAATGAGGAAAGAGTGACAAAGAAAATTTATGTTGCAGAAGTGAATGGCAGAGTCGGAAAGGGACGTCCTAGGCGAAAATTTATCGACCAAATTGGCGATTTATTGAAAACGGGCCAAATTAGGAGTACCCTTAACCGACGAGCATGTATGCGGAGGTGTATGGATGTGAAGGAGGCGAGAGAGGTGTGTCAGGATCGTGCCAAATGGAAGTCTGTAGTCTCTGCCTACCCCTCTGGGTGACAGGCGTGAGTGTTTATGTATTTATGTATGTAAAATTAAACACGATAAAATCCGTAAAATTAGACTTTTGCATCTGTTTAAAATATATTTCTTCATAATTGCAAGTTTTCTCACATTGAATAGCTTTTCCCCAAAAATGTTATTTTTATATTAATATTATTTGGTAATTGTGCACATTGTTAAACATGCAGTTAATTAACTGTGAATCCAAAGAAAAATTTGTTTGGATGAAATTTGCTTCCAATGAGGGCGACGATCACGACTTTCTTCCACCAGGGCGGCGCTACTTTGCTTACGGTGACACATTGCAACAACTAACTTCGTTTAAACTAGCGACACCTGGTGATCGGAAAATTGTTAGCCCTCATTAAAACAATAGATGTAGTTTCATCTTTTTAAAAAGCGTTACCCCCACACTAGGATTTTCTCCTGTATCGTGTGGGTAATTTACTTACATGAATTGCACAAGAAAAAACATCGAGACCCAAATTAATTATTTACTGGCTGTACAAATACTTATTTTGTGCAAAATTCTAACCCGCGACCGTCAGCGCCGAAACACAATGATAAGCCACTGCCACTTTGGTTCCTTTGTTCTTGGTTTTAAGTATAAGCCTTCGGTTGCGTGTCAGTCACATTGTACGGAGCATTTAAAACGTGACTGACGGCAGTTTAAGTATTAAGTAACTTGAAAGAATGAAAAAATATATTTAACAAGTGTTTTCTTGTGTTGCAGAATATCGAGTTATTTTGGAACGATAACACCTGAAAATGCGGCCAAGTCAATTCTGGACAGTGTACGACGCAACTATCCAGAGGCATCTGTACCAAAACACTTACTGTACCTTGGCCACACTCTTAGAATATTGCCCAGAAAGGCGACAGTACTCATCAGAGATTTACTTGATACTGGAGTAGATTTTGCATGATGTACGAAGAAGAACATAAATGAGGAAAGACTAATAATTTATGAAACAGTTGTATATAATTATGTATGAATGACAAAAAATATTATGTAAATATTAGAAATTGAATCCCCTAATTTTTTAGTCTTCTCATTAAGTATTCGTGATAAATAAGTATTATAATATTTAATGTAAGGACGAAGACATCCCCTAAATATATAAAATGACTGTATTTTTATAGTGTAATTAAAATGTTGTTCCTGTATTGCTAGTAAATGTTGTAAAGAAAATTAATTTAAATAAATAAATGTATTTTATGTTTAAGTGTATTTAATTTATGTGGGTGTAATTACATATTTCTTTTTATAACATTATGAGCTTACGTATCCGTTCTAAGATTTGTAAACTATTAGTCAATCATATTTAAACTGTAGAAAAAGTGTACTGTGAATATAAAAGAATAAATAAAAAATAGCTAAGTGGTTACAGCTTAAAATAGGGTTTGTACATGTAGACTACATATAAGGCCAATCTACCTACCTAATGATAGCCCGCTTGATAGTATGGAAAGAATTATAGGTCAGACAGATCATGGACTAATTTCGTTTAAAAATTGACCTCATATTTCTAAAAATGAATCTGTAGTCTTTAACGAATATGTCAACATACGGGAAACTAAACAGATAGATCTCCGAATGCATACGGCGTGACACACTACTTCAGCTCCTACTGAAGAAGCAATTGAACAAAACCAAGGTTCTAAAGTCTACCACAGTTCCTGTCGGAAAGAGCCAACTATCGAAGTTGAAGATCGATTATGATGGGCTCATTTCCGAGAAATATTTGATTCTGAATAAGATTGATAGGTTCTACGGACAGCCGTTCAAATCGTCGTTAGATCTTCACGTAAGTGTGAAAAACGATCCAAGAGAAAGTCTCATTCAACACCATTCTGATGATATCCCGGACCTCAGTTTAAACGAGATTATAATGGTTGAGGATGGAATTATAGCTGAACTTCTGAAAGCACCCATACGTAAAGTCCTTCAGAAGCTTTCCAATTACGTCCTCAATACTCCATGGTGGCACTGGTACTACTTCGGAGGCGTGGAGTAGTTCGTTGTCCTCCAAGAAAGGAATACGGTCGCGGTTGCGGTCTTGCTCTCCAAGAAAGGCAATATATTATCTCCAGACGGTATTTACGTCACGCGTTACGCTTATGCTGGCGGCCAATCGCCGTGAGATTACAGTTGTACCTACCTTCCGCGGTAGAAACTTGGTCGTCTGTAGAGCCACATGCTAAATCCGCCATCAGGTTCATGAAAGCTGGTGCTTACGAGTGTTTGTTTTTAGGCCCCATGGCCAGCAAATTGAAATCCGGGGGATGGGGGCCTCATGGCGAAAGCATTGGTCAACTTGTCTCCGCGAGACGGTTAAATAACTTGCATTTACCCTTGTAAAAAAGACTAATATCCGACTAAGTGGGTCCAACATCAGGAGATAACATTAAATGAAACTAACTTTATTTTATTTATTTAAAAACTTAAATGTTGCACTTTAATGTAAAGGGATCATAGGGCGGACATCATGCCATGTGGCATTATCTGTCAGTCAACCCTGGGTGCCAAGTAAAATTGTTACATAAATAAAGTGAAAATATATTAAAATATATACAGGTACATAGTACAAATTTTTTATAGCTTAGGTGGCAAACAAGCACACAGTCCAACTGATGGTAAGTGGATGCTGTGGACCATAGACATCTACAATTATTCTCAATTAAGCATCAAAATGTAGATGCGTTGTCACCCCTGATGACTAAGATAGAATGCCTAGTCTCCAGTAAAAAGGGTCTCCGGTTCTCCACAACACATTTAAATGTATATACATATAGCATAATATGTATACATACAATAATAAATACACACATACACATATATATAATGTGTATACATGCTTACAAACTATAAATAAATATCTGTACGAATACATAAATATTTGAAGAAAAAATAATGTCCGTTAGTAATTGGTACTTTGAAGCTTTGAACGATAGGAAGATATGTGGTCATATTTACGTAAACCGAAAAATAACCTTATGGAATTATAAAGAAGGTGCTCCAAGTTAGAGCGTCCAGTATATATATCGGCGCGGCGCGGTGGTCCGTGTTGCTTTATAGCCGACATCAATGAGAATTAACGAGCGGAGGATATAGACTCCAACACTTGATAGAGTAATGATCTGGTAAAACCTGCACAGGACGTCGATGGAGGCAAGTGTTAAGGATCGTGCTTGTTGGTATTACATGGGAAATAGAACTATGTTCGCAATATACTCGTAAATGGTTGTAGCACTGAATCAATAGATATGAATTGCTTTGTAAGAGTAGAGTTTCGGAATCTATCGTAGTGTCACCCTGTTTTGTTCCGTGAGTTCCTTTTGGTATAATTAGTTGTATGTTATTTGTAGTGTATGTTATTGGTATTTCAAAATTGTACCTGGTAATATTTTATTACAAATGTCAACATAACAATTTTCTAGTTGACTGTGGCGCCATCTGGCCATCACATCTGATTCGTTTTCGTCGCGACTTGAAAAACTTTTGAATATACAAAATTGTACATAAATAATGTGTTGTTAAGTGTTTGTGTTTTGTGATAAATTTATATAAACCATAAGTGAGTTTTATTTGTATTTTATTACACTGTGGAGTTCTTGAAAGTAAGTTTCTACACATATAATTATAATGATATTAATATAGCGCAGTCAACAAATTCTCGATCAATATAATATGAAAATAAAATATGTTATTCTTCGATTATTAAGGTAATGTCTACAAATAAACAAACTGTTTACATACCTTTAAGCTTCTAAATTTCTGTTCCTTCTCGTAGATCATCGGAGCTTTATGGGTGCTTTCAAAGCTTTTGAGATCATTATGAGCTGTCACTTTCTTACAATTTTTTTTTATATATTACACACATATATATACATAGCACAATAAGGCTTTTTTTCTTAGAATGTCTAAAAATGTATTTAAATTTTATTTCCCCAGCAATATCATTGATATTATAATATCATTTCGTGTCATAATTGCGTTTAATGATTTGCGTCAATAACTCTACTAAAAAAATTTAAGAAAAATTGGATACATAATATATATAGAACCACGAGAGTTAGAGAAGGGAAAACTAAAACACAAAATTTTTAATACCAAAGTTTTATTAATGAAATAGATTTGGTAAGACTGGCAAGGTAAACCTGATTGTAAATTAACAATTAAAAAAATGTTATGAATTACTTTCTAGATAAAATATAAGTTCATCATAGGGTATTTGACAATTTGTGAAACTACAATATTCATTTATAATATTTGATAAATATGTATGTGTAATACTTCGAATTTCATTTCAATAATTTAGTGATCAAATACTGTAATATTCCATATTTGTTTGCAATGCTATGTGTGTGTTGTACATAAGAGTGCATTTATTGGCCAACAAACTGTGTTTACAGTTTGGCAGTATTAATGTAGCGTGATGCTTTTGTAAAAGTTATTAAAAAAAACAACGGATTAAAAATTTTAATAATTTTTTTATCAAATATTGGTAGGTGTACTCTTTCCTTAATTAAATATTTCTCTCTTAGTTTTGTAATTTTTATAACTAATTCATCCCACTGATGTATTATTCTGTCCATAATTAGGTATTCAAGACCGGATCTTTAGTGCTTATGATTTGCCATCAAAAATACTTGCATTATTTAATAATTATATTATGTAATTTAAGATACAGTGTATAAACCATAATAATTGAAAAATATTATTATTTAACATGTGATGGTTTAATGCTTGCACAAATCATAAAAGGTAACTCAAATAAAAAAAATAAAAACCCCAAAACAAAAAGAGCTGTTGATCTTCAAATAGCTGAACAGATTTTCTTGAAACATAGGTAAGAACACTGGATTAAGACAACTTTCAAACGAAAACAACTTAATCAAAATTGGTTCATTCATTCAGAAGCTATGATGCCACAGACAGACACAGATGCACACTACAAACTATATGTTTGTATATGATGGAATACAATTCCAATTAGTAGATGATGCTAGCGGTATTTTAAAACACGCTATAGTTCAACCAAATTGTGAAACATCAAACCTTTTGCTATGATAATTTTGGAGTGTTCAAAAACCTAGCGGGAATTTTTGTGAACTGTCTGCACAGCAGATAGGTTAAAATATTATAACTCTGTAATTATGTGGGGGGTTGAAAAATTTATGTTTATAAGCAGATAGTAGAAGGGGATAGCTACTACATCTGCATGCCTAACACCTCAGTCTCAGAAAATCTGTTTACTTCTACCCAATCCTAATATGTAGGATTTGATATGTTATATTAGAAGTGATATTGGTTCAAAAGTAATAACTTTTGTCATTCAGTTCAGTTTACATTTTTGAAAGACATATTCATTAACTCATTTAAAAAAGGCTGATGAGAATAACTAATTGATTTACAAGCTCCTTGAATTAACATGTATTATTATTAATATGAGGATGCTCAAGGTCGCTCAGCGAGCTATGGAGAGTGCTATGCTCGGAGTTTCCCTGCGTGATAGACTCAGAAATGAGGATATTCGCAGTAAAACCAGAGTGACCGACATAGCCCAACGGATTAGTAAGCTGAAGTGGCAATGGGCCGACCATATAGCTCGAAGAACCGATAACCGATGGGGAAGAAAGGTTCTTCGAGTGGCAGCCTCGTACCGGTAGGCGTAGTGTAGGGCGACCCCCCACTAGATGGAGTGACGACCTGGTAAGACATGTAGGAAGTCGATGGATGCAGGTGGCTCGGGACCGTGCTTTGTGGCATTACTTGGGGGAGGCCTATGTTCAGCAGTGGACTTGTGAAGGGCTGTAATGATGATGATGATGATTATTAATATAATATAAATTAAGTATTGCACTTTTTATTTAAATTTTGACAGGCTATGAATGTTCACAATATCATCCCGTGGGTGTCTTA